TTTATCATTATAGGGTGGTTGTGTACACACACTGCCAACACACATTTCAGTTCAAACAACTTGTAAAAGTGCATGTAGCATCCTATGACCCCTTTAAAAAAAAAACAATCTCTCAACTAATGCTGTAAAGTTTACCTTAAGAAAAATGGACATGTATGTTTACAGTGTAAACAGGGAAACCTGTTATATGAATAAAATTTATTATATTATTAAAGGTTAACCAACATAATCCAAATTCTTGGATTATACAAAAAATTTTCTGAGGTAAATATGACGTCAGGTGACATTACATGCTGCTTTATTGGCGTTTCTGCGTTGAAACACTGATTGATCGATTAAATGAGACATGATTCATTCAGTAAGTATGTTATAAGTATGTTTTTTTGTCTTTCAACACCTTCTGATATTCATTAATGTTTATTTTGCGCTTTAATGCCGCTTGAACTGAGCAAATATGGCAAAAAATATATTTTTTTTAGGCTATGGCGTTACTGTCGCGCCACATTAATAAGCGCCAAAACGCTGTTTATTGTTTAAATTTTGCAATAAAATTGACAGAATTTGAGGATAAAACATCAACTTCTGAGTTTAAGACTCAATACCGGTTCATCAAAGTGAAGATCAACTAAAATCAATTATACATATAGTCAACCCAGCCGTGAGTGAGTGACGTGAAGCGCTGTGTGATGTTAGCATGCTAATAAGCTATCAACAGGTTTTCTAATAAGTATAAATAGATGCTGGGTAAAATAAACCCTAATACACACCACTGTTACTGTAAGTGCTTAAACTCTCTAACCAACAGCTGTTATTGAAGAAAACTGTCAGTCAGAACAGATGACTGTAAACAGCGAGGGTCAGCAGTGTGTGTGTGTGTGTGTGTTTATGATGTGCACGTGTGTGTGTGTGTGTGTGTGAGAGACACACCTGTCTCTCTCGGATGTGTTATAGTGTTGTGTTGAAGCTGTTACCCTCAGGAAAGCGTAACATGGCCCAATGCCATCAGACTCTCATCACATACTCCATAATGAATCATGTGAGTTGTTTAAGGCCCTGAATTGATGCTCTGCGGATTTACTGTGGCTTTTGTGATCGGAAAGGCTTTCTGAAAGATTAGAGTATTTTGTGTTTGTTTGTTTCAGAAGTATTGCTAAATATCACACCTGTTTCTGTTTGTTCAGTAGCATCTGTTTGATCAGTTTAGAGATGAAGCTCTGTCACGTCATGCTGCTAACTAGTTTGATAAAAACAAAACAAAAAACCCCATCAAGACAAACTTTATGTTGGCTTGAGAAAGCCTCACTGGAAAGTTTGAAGTGAATTTAATCGCTTTAATTAGAAGGTTTTAAGTTTGGGGAAGTTATAAGTTATGCTTAGTTATGGTAAGCTTTGGTAGATAGATAGATAGATGGATAGATGGATAGATAGATAGATAGATAGATAGATAGATGGATAGATAGATGATAGATAGATAGATAGATAGTCAAATTAAGCTCTATCAATAGCATGTCGTGCTGTTAATTACCATAGAAAATATAGATTTTTCACATTAATTTAAAATTTCTTTAAAATTAAAAAATGTTTTTTAAATTTTTTAACCAAACATAATAGTTACAGTACTTTGCCCATGATTGGTTATGGCAGTAGTTAATATTGGACATATTTTTACACAGGCAAAGTAAATAAGTTATTTTATAATGCTAGTCTCGTGTTAATGTATAGCGGAGGTGGCTAACGTCGGTCCTGGAGAGCCACAGTCCTGCAGAGTTTTGTTCCATGCAACCTTGATAAAAACTCACCTGCCTGCTGCTTTTTAGTAACCCTTAGACCTTGATTAGCTTGTTCAGGTGTGTTTGATTAGGGTTGGAGCTGAAGTCTGCAGGACTGACTGTGGCTCTCCAGGACCGACGTTGGTCACCCCTGATGTATAGCCTAATCTTTTACTTATACTTTAAAATAACTCCATATAAACCGATTTTTAGTTCGTTTTTACGAACCAAGGGACAAGTCTCGGTTTGTGTCCGTATAGAGCTTATCTTGTGTTAAACCTGGAACATTTGCCCTCGCTGCTCTTCTCCATGTGTGGGATGTTCTTGGCGTCTCCATCCACAGGAAGACACACATCTGTCACGATGACCCCGTATTTCCTTCAGCTCTTTAATTTATTCATCTTCCATTATAAATTATTTTGGTTTATGCAGTTTTGGTCAAGCTTATGTTTGATTCCTTCAGCTAGAAAGAATTTGTTTTTGAAAATGTATTAATCTAATAATAGCAAATCACTGTGTGAGATATTTATGTTTGTCTTTTGTGCCTCCAGAAGTTATGCCTAAATTATTTTGAAAATGAAGTTTAACCCTCTGGTGGTTTTCAGTCATTTTTGATAGAAAAAAAATCCCCCCCCCCCCTAAATTGGAATTTTATGAAACTTGGTAAAGGTTTTGGCATTTGCTATGTGGGGAAAAAAAAAAAGAGACCAAACTTAAGTCTGTGCTCCAAAGCATTCAAGATTTTTGACAGTTTAAGTTGGAAATGTAATTTTCAGGTCTATGCTCAAAAAGTGGTTAACAGATAATAAATTGATCATAACTTTTCTATAAATATAATTTAGTGTCATAAGATCCCCTAAAAATGCAAAATATTAAATAAAAAACACTATCAAACTAAAATAAAGTGCATTCATTTCATTGCAAGAATTGGGGGAAAAAAAGGCACGTAAACAAAACCAGAAGGTTAATTTTGTTTGGTCTGTTCAGGGACATCACTAACTTCAGTCGACACAATATATCAAAATAACATTGAAATATTAATTCAAACTTAAAAAATCCTTGAGCTGTATATGTATATTTTAAAGTGAAAGTTTAAAGTTTGTATAAAATCAAAATTTACCATGCCTGTGTCCCAATGTGCACACTATCCATGATAAATTCTATGTGATATTAGTCATTTTCAATACTATTTAGAGCAGATAGGGTGGATAGTATGCACATTGGGACCCAGGCCATATGTATTTAGTTAGCGCATATTGGTACTCTTGAGGTGAAGTTAATCCACTGAAAAAAAATGGTTTGTCTTGGTAATCTTTCTCTGATGACGTCAGTCTGACGGCTCGGGCAGAATATTCATAACCACGCCCCTCCAACCATTAGTTTGCTGCGAGTGAAAGACGAGAGGAGGAGCTAAAAAATAAAACCTTCTGGTTCACGTAAGACTTTAAACTAGAGTTGTTACAAAACTTTGCAACAATGCAAAGAGTTTAATGTAGGCTATTTGTTTACAGGGGCAACGCACATTTATAAAGTTGGTTGTAAATGTGCCAGAATTAGCCAAAGAGGCTATTTTTCATCTGTAGACCCTTGACAGAATGTTAAAAAATCACCCTAAAAACAAAACAGAGCATCTTAGACACATATTACAACCAACAAAGAAAAAGAGATAAAGTAGCTAAAAAATACAAATACATGATTACACATAAAAATCTAACCAAAACACAATAATAAGTTATCGAAACAAAATAAAATATAAGGAAAAAGAGAGAGGTGTTGACAGGAGAACCAAGAGCAATTAGCACAGAGAAGTCTAAAATGAAGAATACAGTAATGTTGTCAGTGCTGAGCTGTCAACAACCATTTTTTAAGATGAAACTGAAAAGAACCATACGTATCCACTAGGGCTGTGAATCTTTGGGTAGACGCGAATCGATTCACGATTTACAGGTTTTCGATTCGATTCAAGAATGATTTTTTTGCACATTCAAAACGATTCGACTCGAGACGAATTAAATTCGATTTGA